CCCCCCCCCCCCCCCCCAGTGTAGACCAGCCCACAGTTTCAGATCACTAATTGCAATTTTGGTTTGGACTTCCATTATTTATAATGTCTGTTTCTGTTATAGTCTCTTGCACTAAATGAATTAGTGAACAAATTTGGCACGAAACTTTCCATCCTGATGAGGAGTTGACATTGCTAGCTCTGTTCAAATCACAGACGACTCAATTCTACACTTTCATGCCTGAGCTACTTTTTCCAGTACACAGCTGGTCAGGAAGTCATCTGCCTACAGTAATGTTGCCTAGGCAATGTGATGTAACTTGGAGCACTGCACGCCTTGCCAGCAAAACAAGACAACGGCCGACATGAACAGATTAATTACATGCAAGGCTTTCATATGCTTGTAGAATAAAACATTTTTTGTGAATTCTGAGGCATGCAATGCATGTGCTGCATACATAGACAGCACACCACTCGGCCTAACTCATTGTTGTCTATGGCCCCCCCATGTTGCTGTCACTGAAACTTCAATTGACTTCAATGGTGCAGTATCAGACCTTAAGGCAATATGCTTTACAACACTACAAATAATCAGAACAATTGGTCACAGTTGTGTTCTTAACTCACTGCACAGACAGTAGTTGCAAATAGAATCATAGAAATGTTAAGCTGAAAGGGACCTCAAGAAGCCATCTAGTCCACCTGCACTCCCCCATGCTGAGGCAGGACTACATATACCTAGACAACCTCTGACAGGTGTTTGTCAAACTTGTTCTTAAAATCCTCCAAAGATGGGGATTCCACAGCCTCCTTTGTTAACCCTTAGAATTAGAAAGTTTTTTTCTAAAATCTAACCTAAATCTCCCTTGCTGCAGATTAAGCCTATTACTTCTTGTCCTACCTCTAATGGACAGGGAGACAATTGATCACTGTAACAGCTCTTAACATATTTGATGACGGTTATCAGACCGTCCCCCTCAGTCTTCTTTTCTCAAGACTAAACACACACAGGTTGTTTTAATCTTTATACATGGAAGGTTTTTTAAATCTTTTTATCATTTTTTGTTGCTCTCTTCTGGACTCTCTCCAATTTGTCCACATGTTTCCTAGCACGTGGTGCCCAAAACTGGACACAATACTCCAGCCCTGGCCTTGCCAGTGCAGAGCAGATTGGAACAATTATCTCCTATGTCTTACATATGACACTCCTATTAATACACCCCAGAATGACATTTGCCTTTTTTCACAACTGCATCACAATGTTGTCACATATTCTATTTGTGATCCACTATAACCCCAGATTCTTTACTGGGATAGTAGTTCCTAGCCAGTTTATTCTCCATTTTATAGTTGTGCGTTTGATTTTTCCTTTCTAAATGTATACTTTGCATTTGCCTTTATTGAATTTTATCTTGGTGATTTCAGACCAATTCTTCAATTTATCAAAGTCATTTTGAATTCTAATCCTGTCCTCAAACTGCTTGCACCCCTTCCAGCTTGGTGTCATCTGAAAATTTTATAAGCAGAGTCTCCATTCCAATATCCAAGTCATTAATGAAAATATTAAATAGTACTGGACTCATGACAGATCCCTATGGAGCTCCACTAGATATGCCCTCTCAGTTTGACAGTGAACCATTGAAAACTACTCTGAGTATAAGTTTTCAACCAATTATGCAATAACTTTATAGTAATTTTATCTAGACCACATTTGCCTAGTTTGCAGAGTATTACTGAGATGACATGCACAGTCTTTGGTACTGAAGACTGTTTAAAAGGCACCAGCATAAATAGAAGGCAATGGGATGGGGAAGAAACAGGTATGTTTAGCTCAGGGTGATTTGACAAGCAAAAGGCCACAACCTCTCCCTCCTCCTTCTCTGACACAATACCTATACAAAGGAACCAGTTGAAAAGCTTTGGTCTGGAAAGTGTGTTTCATGCTTGGGCATTTTCTTCTAGCCAGATGTAAGTGGAAGTGGCAACACCTGTGGAGTCAGCTGCTCTCTCAGCTAGAACAAATAGTTCTAACATTTATCAGCAGGGCTAGAAAGGGTAGAGGCAGAAACCATATAGCCAAATGATTCTCTTATATTGTACAAAACAACAAGAATGTGGATTACAGCCCACATATCTATCAAAAAGCCAGATTGGGCAGAATGCTGAAGTTGTTGCTACATAAAACACATATTGCTTTATATTCCACTTGTTCCAAAACAGTTCAATTTAAAATCTATTTACCCTCTTAATGGTTAGTAAACAGCAGAAACTGTAATCAGCAGTATAATAAAACTAAGTTAAAACAACTATACAGTTAAATACAGAGAGACTTTAACCACAGGATACCACAATAATTGCCTATTGCACAAATGCTGAATAAACCAGAGTCAATACAAAAATAATAATAATAGAATTGCAATTATGCATTTAATATTGTAAAGTTGATTCAAACAAGAATTAATAAACAGACTTTAAAAGTAATCCAAATGTGATTGGGGGACAATATAAATAAAGTACACAGCATGTCATTTAAGACTTCTGAACATAAAAGTTATCCAGAACTCCTTCTAAAAACTATTAGACATTCAAGGTTGTTGCATGTCATTGGAAAGGTTATTAAACATATTTTAAAATAAGTGTGTAATAACATTAGAGAGTAATTATAACTACAAACATTGTGCATTGTGCCAAGATTTTAAGATGTGATGGGCACAATATAATATATCAGATCAAGTACAAGACAATTTCCTCAAAGAGTGGGACAATACACACTACAACCCCCTTTCTGCCCTTATAGCCCCAAAATACTTCCCTGAAAATGTAACTGGTCTGGACAATAGAGAACTACATTTAATGGAAAACCAGTGCAAAAGAGAATTTTGATCCACCTTGAAAATTTACTTTTTTCAAAGGAGACCAATATCTTTTCTGGAAATAAAGGAGATACATGAAGGAAGAATTTGTGTGTCTGTGCAATAGACAATAGAGGTACCCAAAGATCTTCTAAGGGCTGTTACTGGAATAATTTAAATCTGCTTTCAGCAAGGAGTTCCACTTCCCTGGCAATATAAATTCTTAGCTAGCCTGACAGATTCTTCCAGCCTACTTCAGCTTCTGGGAGCTCTTGCCTGGTAGATTCGCTGTAACCAAAACATATAATGGGACGTGTAAGGAGACTGACATGAACCACAATGTTCCTGGTCATGAAAGAAAAGAGACTTCTTCAGCTCTAAAGGTGCCTACTCTGCAGATTCATAGATTTTAAGGCCAGAGAGACCATTCTGATCAGATAGGGTTGATCTCTTGTATAATGCAGGTCATAGAATTTCACCCATTCATTTCTGTATCAAACCTACAATTTTATTCTTGCATCTTTGCAACTATAAATTACCTTGGCTTCAATCTGCCTATAGCAAGAGACACCATATATTGTGGTTCGATCTCCACATCTTGGGGGCAAGTGGAAAAACACAGTATCTAAGAAAGGAGAGAAAAAGCTTCATCAGCCACCAATAGAACGATACATCAACATTTTGTATTTTCAGCTCTGTAGTCATCTTTTTCAACATTACTCTCATTTACAAAAGCCTTACTGAAGAAATTGCACTTTCTACCAGCTCTACCCTTTTGTAAGTAGCGCTGAAGTCTTTGTGTCTAAATCTGACTAAACTGTTTCAGTAACTAGTAAACAACTCACTTTCGCTCTGTGCAAAGGTGCCAAATAAGCAATATTTATGCTATGACATGACAAAGGGTACTAAAAAAAGAGCTTTTCATTAAAGCTGCAGGGTTTACTTCAAAGCTAGACAGTGTTTAATAATTATGCAAACAGATAGATATGTTACTGCCACTAACTGTTAATTGCTAATTTATAGATACAGCAAAGGCAAAGCACTCGTTAGAAGAATTCTGTTTTGCAGTTCACAACATTTCACTATGAAGTGAACCCTGTCTTGAGAGTGACTAAAATTGGTTACTGACTTTATAATAATGAAATGAAACAGAACTGTACTTTAAAATATGGAGTAGTCTCTTGAGGAAAGGAGTTAGGTACTAAAAACGGTCAGTCCTTTTTACAGATTTCACTGCATTCTAAAGAGATTGGCTAGGGGTTTAGTAGAATTTTTAATAAATGTCTCTCCAAGCCAATAAACAAGTAGCCTAATTCCCCATTTCACTGGACACTAGTAACTCCTACACTGTGAATTACTCATAACCTGCACAGGAAAACCAGGCCCAATATGTTATAGTAAATTTACGGTAATCTTATTTTGAAATACATTTGGTAATTCCAACTTAAATCTTTAGTGTGTTTCTGGCCATAAAAACCCAAGGATATACACCTAACAGGTTTAGTTGCTTTGTTGCTATGCTAGCTTTGAAGCAATCTCTCTTACTTCAAAATATGCACTAATGACCTGTTGCTGTGGTAATGAAATGACAGAAAGTCAACTATTTAGCTTTCATGCATAGGGCTGTGGCACTGAGCCAATGTAGAAACAACTTCACTCACCTGGTCCTACTTCCTGCTTTAGAATGCACTCAGTAGATCATTTGATATTTAATTATACAGAAATGAACCCAAGTCAGGACCCAACACAGAGTCAAGGAGTGGCCTTTTACTGATGCAAAGATCAATTCTTTTGATACAACTCCTATACTTTTGCTACCAATTCCAGATGAAATACCTCTAAAATTTAGAGGGTCAGATGCAATTTGAATTAGAAACATAACAAAACCCTAATTAAAAGTAGTATCAGGGTATTTTTGTGATTTTACAATTTCTTCTTTTTAAAAGTTTTCTTCTCCCCTGTTGCTGTGCAGAGAAAAAATGGTTTCTCACCTTCTCGTAAGTTTTGTTCTTCAAGATCTGTTGTTCATGTCCATTCCAATCAGGTGTGCGCGCACTGTGTGCACAACAGCTGGAAGATTTTCCCCCTAGCAGTATCTGTAGGGTTGGCCTGGGTGCCCCCTGGAGTTGCAACTTCATGGCACCCAATATAGGGCCTTGCCGACCCAACCCCACCTCAGTTCCTTCTTGATGGGTACTCCGACAGAGGGGTAGGAGGGAGGGTATTGGAATGGACATGAACACCACATCTCAAAGAACAGTTACGAGAAAGTGACTAACCGTTTTTCTTCTTCAAGTGCTTGTTCATGTCAATTCCAATCAGGTGAATCACAAGCCTAAGTTCAGGAGGCAGGGTCAGAGTTGTCCACCTATTGGAGTACCGCTCTACCAAAGGCTGCATCGTCTCTGGTCTGCTGGGTAATTGCATAATGTGCGGCGAAAGTGTGTATGGAGGACCACGTTGCTGCCCTGCATATTTCCTGGGTAGGAACCTGAGCCAGGAATCCTGCTAAAGAAGCCTGTGCCCTGGTGGAGTGTGCAGTGATTGGAGGGGCTGGCACCCATGCCAGGTTGTAGCACTGTCGAATGCAGGACGTGATCCACAATGAAATTCGTTGGGAAGAGATTGGAAGACCCTTCTGTCCGCCACAGTCACAAACAGTTGAATGGGCTTCCGGAATGGTTATGTTCTTTCGTTATAAAAGGCAAGTGCTCTGTGGACATCCAAAGAGTGAAGCCTCTGCTCCCTGCCGCTCGAGTGCGGCTTAGGACAGAACACTGGAGGAAGATGTCCTGGTTGATGTGAAACTGGGAGATAACCTTCAGGAGGAAAGCTGTGGCCTGAGCTGAACCTTGTCCTTATAGAACATGGTGTAAGGAGGCTCTGATGTTAGGGCCTTGAGCTCAAACACCCTCCTGGCTGAGGTTATTGCCACCAGAAATACCACCTTGTACGAGAGGTAGAGTAGGGAGCACGCCGCTAGCAGTTCAAAAGGCGGTGCCGTCAGTCTGGAAACGACCAGGTTGAGGTCCCAGGCTGGGACCAGCTGCCTGACTTCCGTATATAACCTGTCGAGACCTTTGAGGAAACGGTTGACCATAGGGCTGGCGAAGACTGACCAGCCCTCTGAGCCTAGATGGAAGGCAGAGATGGCGGCCAAGTGAACCCTTATTAATGACATGGACAGCCCCTAATGCTTGAGATGGAGAAAATAGTCTAATATAAGTGGCACAGAGATGAGTGTCGGGGCTGAATGATGCCAAGTGGAAGAGATTTTCAATCTGGTCAGCGCAGCAAGGTAGGTAGCCCTGGTGGAGGGCTTTCTACTGCCAAGGAGGACTTGTCTAACTGGGTCCGAGCAAGAGAGCGCCGTCGGGTTCAGCCATGGAGCTTCCATGAGGTGCAACGACTCGAAGTTTGGGTACTGAAGCCGTCCGTGATCCTGAGTTAGTAAGTCTGGGAAGAGTGGCAAGGTGACTGGAGCTTTCACGGACATTTCCAGGAGTGATGTGTACCAGTGCTGGCGAGGCCAGGCTGGGGCTATCAATATCACCGAAGCTTGTTCCCTCCATATCTTGAGGAGCACCTTGTGAATGAAAGGGATAGGTGAAAACATGTAGAGAAGATAGCCTCCCCATGGGGAGGCGAAACGCGACCGCAATGGAGCCCGGGCTGTGATTCAGGAGGGAGAAAAACTGCTGGCACTTCCTGTTGCGTCACGTGGCGAACAGGTCTATCTGGGGAAAACCCCACTAATGGAAGATTGCGTTTGCAACGTCTGGGCAAAGGGAACATTTGTGGCCATGGAACGACCTGCTGAGATAGTCCGCCAACTTATTCTGTATTCCAGGGAGGTACGATGCTTGCAGATGTATTGAATGGTCTACACAGAAGTCCCACAGCACAGGGTAGAGAAGCATGCACCCCACCGTTTGTTGATATAAAATATCGCCGTGGTGTAGTCTGTCATAGCTGATATACATCTCCCTGTCAAGTAGGCTCAGAAAGTCTGTCATGTGAGGCGCACCACTCTCAGCTCTCTGACATTGATGTGGAGAGCGAGTTCTGCCTGAGACCAGAGACCTTGTGGCCTGAGGTCTTCCAGATGTGCTCCCCAGCCCAAGGCTGACGCATCCATCACTAGCGAGAGGGATGGCTAGGGGCTGGTGAAGGGGACCCCTGCACATACTACCTATTGGTCAAGCCACCACAGGAGGGAGTCGAGTACCAGGCGAGGCAGGGTTATGATCCAAGCTGTCCCAGACTGGCCGATACACTAACGCTAGCCACGACTGAAGAGGTCGAAGTCTGAGTCTGGCATGCTATACTACGTAAATACAAGCCGTCATGTGTCCCAGGAGTTTCAGGCAATTCCTTCCTGTGGTGGTGGGGAACTGCCTGAGACCTCATACGATGTTGCCGAGGGACGGAAGCCTTACTTTTGGGAGGTATGCCCTGGCTTGTGTCAAGTCCAGTACTGCCCCTATAAACTCTGTCCTCTGAACCAGGGACAACTTTGATTTCCCCTAGTTCAGAAGGAGGCCCAGTTTGTCGAACGTCATTCTTATGAAGTCGACTTGTGCCTCCCCTTGAGACCTGGAGCTACCCCTGATGAGCCAGTCATCGAGGTACTGGAACACCTGTACGTGCCACCTGCGCAGGAATGCAGCCACGACTGCCATGCATTTGGTGAACACTTGAGGTGCCGCTGACAGGCCGAATGGAAGGACTGTGAACTGGTAGTGGGTGTTGTTCAACACAAACCTGAGGTATTTTCTGTGGGACAGAATTATTGCTATGTGAAATTACGCGTCCTTCAAGTTAAGGGTGGCATACCAGTCTCCTGGATCCAATGAAGGGCTGATGGAGGCCAAAGAGACCATGCGGAACTTAAGCTTCTTCATGAACTTGTTGAGCTCTCGCAGGTCTAGGATGAGCCTAGGCAAATAAGGTCCTGCACTGCCTCAGAAGTCTCCGTAGTGGAGGGGAATTCAATGTCCCGGCCATGACAGTCTGGAGAATGGTAATGGGCTGGACTCGATTGGACCTCTTGCAGGGCAGGAGTTGACAAGCCCCTAGGAGGCACCAGGCCCGAAGCAGGCTGGATGGGCTGAGGCCTCCCTGCCACTGGCTCCTTAGGCTTAGGAGGGGGAGAGCGTCCCCTCTCCTGCTTCTTTTTCTTCTGGGGCACCGGGGACGAAGATCAGCGCCTGCCAGAAGTCTTATGTTTGGCGCCGTGTCAGTGCCGGGAGTTCTTAGCCATCTTTCTTGGTGCCAGCTTGCGCGCCATCGGCACCAGTGTACTGCGCAAAGAGGAGGCAGCGCTCGGCATGGGCTCCGCCGATCCGGGGTTGGACTGCAGACGGAGTGCTGCCTTCATGAGGAGAATTCTGAGTCTCTGCTTGCAATCCTTAAGGGTCTGCGGCCGAAACCCCTTGCAAATGCGGCACTTGTCATTTGGGCGACTCTCGCCGAGGCACTTCAAACAAGAAGTGTGCGGGTCACTCTTTGGCATCACTTTCCCACAGACTTCACACAATTTGAACCCCGGCAACCAAGGCATGCCCCAGTGTTGGGGAACGAAACGGGGGGGAGAGACGGAAACTTAGAGAAACTACTAACACTACTAACAAATAATCTAACTATATAATAATAATAAAATATATGGAGATATACCTATCTCATAGAGCTGGAAGGGACCTTGAAAGGTCATTGAGTCCAGTCCCCTGCCTTCACTAGCAGGACCAAGCACTGATTTTGCCCCAGATCCCTAAATGGCCCCCTCAAGGATTGAACTCACAGCCCTGGGTTTAGCAGGCCAATGCTCAAACCACTGAGCTATCCCTCCCCCGCAACAGACAATGGGATACTGCTAAAGGCACTTGCAATAGCAAGAGTGAGGGAAGTTCCAGCTAGCTGTCACCGGTGGTATGAAGGAACTGAGGGGGGATCCGGTCAGCAGGGCCTATATTGGGTGCCATAAAGGCGCAACTCCAGGGGGCGCCCAGGCCGACCCTATGGATACTGCTGGGGAAAAAATCTTCTGGCTGTCATGCACGTGGCGCACGCACACCTGATTGGAATGGACATGAACAAGAACTCAAAGAAGAAACAGACAAATTGACTGTACGTGGCACCACAGTACATAAAAAGTACTGTCACAAATGCACAAAGAAAAAAATCTGGAATGAAAAAAAATATTTTCTCTCTAATCTTTCAGTTATAGGACCCTTTGGCATTACTTGTAAAAGTAAAACATTTTCAAGTGTTCATTTTAAAGTGATCCCTTTTTCTCCAGCGCCTATAGTGCTATTTTGATACTGATTCAGAATTTGAAACTGAAAGTCCCAGACAATAGGACTTGTGTAAACTGATCCTTGGTTTCTCAGAAAGCTGGTCTTCTTGAGGAGGAAGCATAAAGCAAGATTAAGAGAAAATTTTTAAATAAAATATTTCATTTTTCCATCTATAGACAGAGCAAAACTATCTATAGATATAGATACCTATAGCCTGCTATGCCTTGGCTAAGTCCTAAATATGGCAAAATTATTCTCCCACCTTTTCATTCTGAAGGTCACTACTCTTCATAGCAAGTCCTCCTGCCCTTCTCATTGGTTGGTTCTCACTATATGATTTCTGCAGACTGTCAATAAGGATCTGTAGAACACATTTTGAGAACCACAGATCTATTTAAGCAAAAACAGATTGCTTTGTTTACACACTTCTGAATACTTTTTCTCCCACCTCCAAAAATATTTACAGGATCAGATTTCCTTAATGAAGGTTTTGAGGAGTGTGGGTTATTTTATTTTATTTTATAACCATAGGCAAGTGAGGTTGTACCCTTTAAAGGAACCCCCTGTATTGAGTGAAGATTTCCTGCTGCTGCATTCTCATGATCAGGGTTCAGTTTAAAAGCCCAAGTATTTTAAGCTGCTTCTTTTTACAGATTCCATTTCTGTAAAATCCATTTCTGCAGTTGTGGACTAAACTGCAAAATAAAGATTAATAGAATGCAAGTAGTCAGAAGCCTGGTTAATTAATAGTTCAAGTGTCAGGATTCTTTCCCCCCTAGTAGAAGCACACAGGAGGACCCAGTCTTCAGCTACTGCCACTGATCCTCACTCAGATGCTGTAACCTCATGTTTGCTTTCTTACCTTCTTGATAGTTGTGAGCTCCATCTGGCAAGGCAAGGAAAGGCAAGTATTTCCATTCTTCTGGTAAACTGTGGCTGTCATGTCCTTCTCCTGGGATGAGGGGAGGATAGGAGAATTCAACCTGAAGAAAAAAAAAAAAGACCATGTTACCAAAAACAGAAATACATAGAAACTGCCACACCAGATCAGTCCAGTGGTGCCTCAAGACTGGAATTCTGTCTCCACTGGAGGCTAGAACCAAGTGCTTCAGTTTAAGGTGCAAGAAATTCCATTGTGGACAACCTGCATGAGGGTCTACATCCTTTATACCATCTACTTGTGGATGATTTCACTACAGTAAAACCTCAGAGTTACGGGAATGGGGGTTGTTCGTAACTCTGAACAAAATGTTCTTCTTTCAAAAGTTTACAACTGAACATTGATTTAATACAGCTTTGAACCTTTACTATGCAGAAAAAAAAATCCTGCTGTGACGGGTTGGATCACAGAAACCCCCAGGGGGCTGCCAACTGATGTGCCAAGACTACTTCTGCCCCTGCTTTCCCTGCCAACTTGGGACTCCAGCACCCTGTCTTGTTGAGCCAGACACGCCAGTCTGCTCCAACACAGACCCAGGGTCTGAACCACATGCCCCAACGCTGCAGATTTAACTGAAAGCAGTTTAAGAAGTGTTCCTGTCTTTAACACTCAGATGCCCAACTCCCAATGCGGTCCAAACCCCAAATAAATCCGTTGTACCCTGTACAAAGCTTATACAGGGTAAACTCATACATTGTTTGCCCTCTATAACACTGATAGAGAGGTATGCACAGCTGTTTGCCCCCCCCCTCCAGGTATTAATACATACTCTGGGTTAATTAATAAGTAAAAAGTGATTTTATTAAATACAGAAAGTAGGATTTAAGCGGTTCCAAGTAGTAACAGACAGAACAAAGTGAATTACCAAGCAAAATAAAATAAAACACCAAGTCTAAGCCTAGTACAGTAATGTTTGTAATAAAACTGAATACAGATAAAATCTCACCCTCAGAGATGTTTCAATAAGTTTCTTTCACAGACTGGACGCCTTCCTAGTCTGGGCACAATCCTTTCCCCTAGTACAGCCCTTGTTCCAGCTCAGGTGGTAGCTAGGGGATTTCTCATGATGGCCGCCCCTTTGTTCTGTTCCACCCACTTATATATCTTTGGCACAAGGCAGGAATCTTTTGTCTCTCTCTGGGTCCCCACACCCCCCTCTAAATGGAAAAGCACCAGGTTAAAAATGGATTCCAGTTCAGGTGATATGATCACACGCCACTGTAAGACTTCATTACCCACTTGCCAGCACACATGTATACAGGAAGACTCACAAATAAAACAGAGCCATCTACAGTCAATTGTCCTGCTTAATGGGAGCCATCAGGATTCCAAACCACCATTAATAGCCCACACTTTGCATAACTACAATAGGACCTTAGAGTTATATTTCATATTTCTAGTTTCAGATACAAGAGTGATACAGTTATACAAATAGGATGACCACACACAGTAGATTATAAGCTTTGTAATGATACCTTACAAGAGACCTTTTGCATGAAGCATATTCCAGTTACATTATATTTACGCTCATTAGCATATTTTCATGAAATCATATAAAGTGCAACGTCACACCTGCTTTCCCTTTATTTTTAGTCGTTTCGGTTTAGTACAGCACCGTACTGTATTTGCCTTTTTTGGGGGGTCTCTGGTGCTGCCTGATTGCGTACTTCCCGTTCCAAATGAGGTGTGTGGTTGACTGGTCAGTTCGTAAGTCTGAGGTTCTACTATATCTATATTTATAACTAAGTACTACTTTGAATCTTATTAAGACCTTGCCTTCAGTAATCTCTTAGTGCAATAAGTTCCACAGGTTAGTTGTGTGCTAAGAGTATTTATTTTTATCAGTTTTAAAAGTGTTGCTTTTCAATTCCATTTGAAGTCCTTTTGTTCTTGTACTGTGAGAAGAGATAAATGGGAACTTCTGATTCACTCTCGGTATCTCATTCATTATTCTGAATACCTCAATCATATCCCCTGTTCATCATCTTTCTAGTTAAGAATCCTAATCTTCTCAATCGCTCTTCACATGAAGTCTCACTATACAGCTAATCATGTATAGCCCACCTTTGGGCCCCTTCTGTATTTTTGGTATGTATTTCTAGAGAAGGGTTGGCTAGAATTGAACAGAGTACATTCAAGGGGGAAAACATAGCATTTAGTTATATAATGGCATTATAATATAGTCACTACTTTCTAGCCCATTCTTTATGCAGCCTAACTTTTTATTGATCACTTCTATGCATCAAGTAGATATTTTCATTAAGCTGTCCCATGACACCTAGGTCTTCTTCCTGACTGGTTACAGTTAAAATCGAATGTAAAAGAATGAACAGAGCATCTTGTTTTGTGCGGTTGAAAATCTACACCTACTACATGGTTTTGAGGGTGGAGGGAAGGAGATGTTTTCAATTCAAGTGCACAAATCAATTTGTCTGCGATGAAAGAGAAAGGATGACCCTTAAAATGCAAGACTCTACAAAAGTAACAGTAGTGCAGACTAATCAAGCAATCACTGAAAAAGTGAGTGAGATGGAGGTTCTGCTTTACAGAGTCACTGACATTATGGGTACTATCTTCAACAGTATAATAAATGTGACAATCTAATATTGCCAATTAAAAAAATCCCACAAAAATTGTTAAATGTAATAGTTAAATTAACTTGTCACAATGAGGGAGAGAGAGCTCTAGCCAAATCTTCATTTATCAGTAAAGAGAGCGGAGGTTATTAAGGGAGAAAATATAATTTCTGTTAGAAGATGTT